CAATCAGAACGATTTCTGGCTCCCAGGTGTCTTTTATACAGGTAACGAGCTGAGATTAGGAGCACACTTTTAAAGGGAGTGCTCCTAATCTCAGCTTGTTACCTGTATAAAAGGCACCTGTCTACAGAAGCAATCAATCAATCAGATTCCAAACTCTCCACCATGGCCAAGACCAAAGAGCTCTCCAAGGATGTCAGGGACAAGATTGTAGACCTACACAAGGCTGGAATGGACTACAAGACCATTGCCAAGCAGCTTGGTGAGAGGGTGACAACAGGTGCGGTCAAGTTATGGCTCCCTATTGGTCAACCACGTTATGTATGCAAATGATCTGGTAATTGCCGTTCACTCAGAGGAGGAGTTGGAGGCGCTTCTGCTGAAACTGGAGCGTGCCACTAAGAGGTGGGGCCTTACCATCAGCCCACCAATACTAAGCACCTGCCTGGGTATTTTGTACCATCGAATACTCCACCCCCACAACTCCTAATCGGTGACGTGGCAGTTGTGGAGAGAGTGGACAGTTTGGCATACCTGGGCAGTGTGCTCATGACCGGCTCCGGTTTGACAGCAGAGGTCTCATTCAGAATCAGTCGATCGGCAATATCTTTTCATCGGTTGTGTAACGCTGTGTGGAAGCTGTCTAGTCTGTCACTCCATACGAAGCTTCAAGCCTTCTCGGCCATGGTCATTCCCTCCCTTCTCTACGCTTGCGAAACGTGGACTTCCTCTAATGGAGCATCTTCGCCGATTGGCAACATTTAGGCTTGCCTGCCAATGATCCAGTAACACTAATCCTGTAGCTATCCGAACAGTTTCAATTATTTTTACGTCTCTCAATTTCGATAGATTATCTAATTAGTCTTGGCCAGTAGTAGCTCGTTTTGCACAGAACGTCAACATTATCAAAATAAATTGAGTCTCCTTGTTGGCACGCATGTTCTGCCACAGCCGACAGTTGTGTTTGGGAGTATTTAATATTTATTTGTTGTTGTTTTAGTCTCATGATGATCATTCGTCCTGTCTGCACAACATAGCATTTGCAATCAATCCGGTGGACACCTTCTGTTGATATCTTCGGTAAGTCATCTTTAGTACCAGATGTTCGTTTCTGTATTTTATGTACCGTGCCAAATCTCACTCGGATGTTTTGTTTTTTCCAAAAACCTGTCTAGTTTATTAGTTACTCCCACAATGTATGGTATTTGAATGCTTTTAAATACTTGGTCAGTTTCAACGCTTGTGTTATTTTATTTTGGTTTTGCCATTCAGTGCCCCGTTGATTTGTGCATCATTGTAACCGTTCAATTGCAGCGCCTCGTTAACATGTTTAAGTTCACTTCTCAGACGATCACCATCTGACACTTTCTTAGGCCGATGAATGAGCGTCTTGACGAGAACGGATTTCTGTGCGGGGTGATGTTGTGGCTCCGCATTCAGACAGGCGTCGGCGTGCGATTGATTCTCTCAGTAAACGCTGTGTGCAGGGGCTTTTCATCGTGTCACGGCCGCCGCTCCGTTTCCGCGAAAGGTTCCAACAATAAACGGCGAGCATCATTGGCACATGAGGTCATTTATCTGAACGTAATTTACGTAAAAATGTCAAATGTTTGTTGTCCTTCCCCCCTCCCCCCAAATACCACCTCCAATTAGCGGAGTTGGCTATGCACAGTGCCAAATAAATTCAGTGTAATTACACTACACTATACACTACACCACTATACATTACAGCACTATACACTACATCAGTATACACTACACCACTATACACTACACCAATATACACTACACTACTATACACCACACTACTATACACTACACTACTATATACTACACTGCTATACAGTACACTACACCATACACTACACTACCATACACCACACTACTATAAACTACACTACTATACACTACACTACTATGCACTACTATACACTACATCAGTATACACTACACCACTATATACTACACCAGTATACACTACACCACTATACACTACACCACTATACACTACACTATCTATACACTACACCAGTGTACACTACACGACTATACACTACACCACTATACACTACACACTACTATACACTACATCACACTACTATACTCTACACTACTATACAGTACACTACACAACACACAGGACTATACACTATACTATACACTACAGCACTATACACCACACTACTATACACTGCACTATACACTGCTATACACTACACTATACACTACTATACACTACACTACTATACACTATACTATACACTCGTGCAGTACTAGTAAGGAATTGGCCACGTTCTATTTACGTGACACTAAACCTTTCTAATCGGCTGTGTCGGGTGGTGGTGGGTTTCACGACACAACATTTATATATTTACGCGTTCTAACCCGAACAAAACCTATATAGGGTGCTTCAAAAAAGATGTTAACACTTACATGGGACTCTCGTTTTTAATGGGAAAATAACGCATTATAAATAGTACAACTGTAACGCGATAACAAGTGTAACGTTAATAGCTTCAACAAGTCGAAGAGCCTGCCACTCAATCGCCATCGTTGTCAACGCACCGCCTGGAATCGTCTCCAGGTGGTTTCCACTTGCTATCGTTGCAAATTCTCACGAAGTGTTGCGGTGTTTTTGAAGCCCCCCTGTGATTATGGAAAACGCCCCCAGATGGTGACGTCAGGCACAGGGTCACGTGTGCTGAGTCAGTCGCCGAGTCGCTGTTGTCGACACCGATATGAGGAAGCCACTAGGGAGGCTGTGATGCACCGTTACATCATCGTCACCTGGAGTGACACACTTGTTGATGTTGTTGTCTTTGGTTCGTTTTACTTCGCCTGCCACCTCGGATTAGCCGCGGTTGGCTACGTACGGTGCCATAGAAGTTCAACATCGTACATACATGAGTATGAGTCTCTATGGGTATCTGTGCATCTCTATGGTTCTACACGAGTCTCTGGGTCTCTGTGGATCTCTGTGGGCCTTTTTGGGTTTATACGAGTCTCTGGGTCTCTGTGGATCTCTGTGGGACTCAATGGTTCTATGCGAGTCTCTGAATCTCTGTGGATCTCTGTGAGTCTCTGTGGGTCTATACGAGTCTCTGGATCTCTGTGGAGATCTCTGTGGGTCTACGCGAGTCTCTAGATCTCTGTGGGGATCTCTGTGGGTCTACGCGAGTCTCTGGATCTCTGTGGAGATCTCTGTGTGTCTATGCGAGTATCTGGATCTCTGTGGGGATCGCTGTGTGTCTATGCGAGTATCTGGGTCTCTGTGGGGATCTCTGTTGGTCTACGCGAGTCTCTGGATCTCTGTAGGTCTCTGTGGGTCTATGCGAGCCTCTGGATCTCTGTGGGGATCTCTGTGGGTCTATGCGAGTCTCTAGATCTCTGTGGGGATCTCTGTGGGTCTACGCGAGTCTCTGGATCTCTGTGAGTCTCTGTGGGTCTATACGAGTCTCTAGATCTCTGTGGGGATCTCTGTGAGTCTACGCGAGTCTCTGGATCTCTGTGGGGATCTCTGTGGGTCTATGGGAGTATCTGGGTCTCTGTGGGGATCTCTGTGGGTCTATGCGAGTCTCTGGATCTCTGTGGAGATCTCTGTGGGTCTATGCGAGTATCTGGGTCTCTGTGGGGATCTCTGTGGGTCTACGCGAGTCTCTGGATCTCTGTGGAGATCTCTGTGGGTCTATGCGAGTCTCTAGATCTCTGTGGGGATCTCTGTGGGTCTACGCGAGTCTCTAGATCTCTGTGGGGATCTCTGTGGGTCTTTGCGAGCCTCTGGATCTTTGTGGGGATCTCTGTGGGTCTATGCGAGTCTCTAGATCTCTGTGGGGATCTCTGTGGGTCTATGCGAGTATCTGGGTCTCTGTGGGGATCTCTGTGTGTCTACGCGAGTCTCTGAATCTATGTGGGATCTGTTGGTCTACGCGAGTCTCTGGATCTCTGTGGAGATCTCTGTGGGTCTATGCGAGTCTCTAGATCTCTGTGGGATCTGTTGGTCTACGCGAGTCTCTGAATCTCTGTGGGGATCTCTGTGGGTCTCTGCGAGTATCTGGGTCTCTGTGGGGATCTCTGTGGGTCTATACGAGTCTCTGGATCTCTGTGGGGATCTCTGTGGGTCTATGTAAGTCTCTGGATCTCTGTGGAGATCTCTGTGGATCTATACGAGTCTCTGAATCTATGTGGGGATCGCTGTGGGTCTATACGAGTCTCTGAATCTCTGTGGGGATCTCTGTTGGTCTATGCGAGTCTCTGGATCTCTGTGGGGATCTCTGTGGGTCTATGCGAGTATCTGGGTCTCTGTTGGTGTCTTCCGATATTAGGAAGTCAATAGGAGCTATGATGTGCTTTTACATCATCATCATTTATAATCTCGATTTACAAACTCATTTCTTCATGGAACTGCTGCTTGTTGATGTTGTTTGTAGCTTGTAGATTGTTGTCATTCTCCTGCCACCTCCGATTTGCCGTGGTTGGCTATGTACGGTGGTGCGAAGGAGGTTCAACACACACGTGTACATACGGGACAGACCCTGCAGGTGCCATGGGTTGTACTGCTGCTGTGCCAGGCTAGGTGCAGAAGGTCACGGGACAGACCCTGCAGGTGCAATGGATTGTACTGCTGCTGTGCCAGGCTAGGTGCGGGAGGAGGAGGTCACGGGACAGACCTTGCAGGTGCCATGGGTTGGCTGACTGAGATGAGCGGTAGATGCACCACCACCACCACAACCACCTGTGCCCCCTACTGTGCCAACTCGCTGCGTTTAATCCGCCCGGTGCTCCGCTCGTCTCGTTGTTGTGAGCGTCGCTACAACCACAACAGCCACAACCACAACCACCACCACAATCACCACAACCACCACCACAACCACCACCACCACAACTACCAGCAGCAGCAGCAGCAGCACGGCTTCCGTGCGCAGCGGTCACTTAGACCCGAGGGCGTCGTCACCTTCCATCTCGCCCCTCCTCCTCCCCTCCCTCCCCTCCCTCTCCTCCCCATGTCTTCGAATGACTACAAACTGAAAGGGGAAGTAGGAGGACGCGCTCTGTTTCTCGCTTTATTGAGATGTAGAGTGAGAGGCAGGTGAGGAGTTAGAGGTGAGAGAGAGAGAGACAGCGGGATGGAGACACCTGGAGCTTCAACTCCAGCCGAGGAAGAGGAACCTCGCTCGTAGCGTTTGTGCTCTCATTTGTGGTGAGTCTCTGTGTGGGAATCTGTGGTGAGTTTGTGTGTGTCTGTGTGGACCTCTGTGAGTCTATGGGTTTCTCTCTGGTGTGTGGGGATTTGTGATAATAATCTGTGGTGAGTTTGTGTGTGTCTGTGTGGACCTCTGTGTGAGCCCATGGGTCTCTCTGTGTGTGTGGGTATTTGTAGTTAGTCTGTGTGGGAATCTGTGGGCCTCTGTGAGTCTATAGGTCTGTGTGTGTGTGTCGGTATTTGTAGTGAGTCTCTGTGTGGGGATTTGTGGGTCTATGTGTAGGTATTTTTGGTTAGTCCCTGTGTGGGAATCTGTGATAAGAATCTGTGGTGAGTTTGTGGGTATCTGTGGTGAGTTTGTGTGTGTCTGTGTGGACCTCTGTGTGAATCCATGGGTCTCTCTGTGTGTGTGGATATTTGTGGTTAGTCTGTGTGGGAATCTGTGATGGGAATCTGTAATGGGAATCTGTAGTGAGTTTGTGCGGGTCTGTGGGTGTCTGAGTCTCTGTGTATGTGCGTCCCTGAGTCTGTGAGTCTCTGTGTGAGTATGTGCGTCTCTGAGTCTGTGAGTCTCTGTGTGGATCTCTGAGTCTGTGAGTCTGTGTGGGTCTGTGGATCTCTGAGTCTGTGAGTCTGTATGCGAGTTTGTGCGTCTCTGTGTGAGTCTGTGGGTATCGGTGTGAGTCTGTGGGTCTCTGTGTGTGTCTGTGAGTCTATGTGTGGGTCTGTGGGTCTCTAAATCTGTGAGTCTCTGTGTTAGTCTGTGGGTCTCTGTGTGGATTTCTGTAGTGAGTTAGTGTGGTCTCTGTGTGGGTCTGTGGGAATTTATGGAAATAATAGTGTGTATGGGTCTTGGTGTATGTGAGTGTGTGGCTCACTGCGGTGAGTCTGTCTATCTGTGGTGAATCTGTGGGTCTCTGTATGAGTATGTGGGTCTCTGTGGTGAGTCTGTAGGTCTCTGCCTGAGACTGTGGGCCTCTGTGGTGAGTTTTTGCGTACCTCTGTGTGTATGTGGGTCTCTGTGCGAGTCGGTGGGTCTCTGTGCGAGTCTGTGGGTCTCTGTGTGGGTCTGTGGTTCTCTCAGGCTATGGGTTTCTGTTGCGAGTCTGTGGGTCTCTGTGTGTCTCTATTCTTATCTGTGTGTGTGGGTATCTGTTTCAGTCTGTGGGTCTTCGTGTGTGTCTGAGGTTCTTTATGCGAATCTGTGGGTCTATGTGTGTGTCTGTGGGTCTCTGTGTGTATGGATATTTGTGCGAGTCTGTGGGTCTCTGTGGTGTGAGTCTGTGCGTCTCTGTGTGTATCTATGGGTCTGTGTGTATGTATGTTGAACTTCTTTGACACCGTACGTAGCTAACCGTGCCAATCTGTGGGTCGCTGTAGGTTTCTATGGGTTTCGATTTAAAGCTTTCGTGACTGCAATGATTCATCTTCTTTGGTTCTTTCGGTAAAGTCACGTAGAATGAGAATAAAATAATAAATTGATAAAATAAAATAACACAATAATATTCTCACGACGTTTCGGCCACAACACAAGCGGCCTTCATCAGGTGAAGGGACGAGACTGTCTGGTAGGACAGCGCTGGAGTGAAAGAGCCACGTTCAGATCACGGCCTTTAAGCTGTGTGAGAGGAACAAAGCGCCTTGACAAAGGAATTAGCATATAATTTCGCATTGAAATGGCTGAATGATTAGCTTGTGACTGGTCACAGAAATAGTTATGTTAAAAGTTAAAGCATACACATCCGCAGAGGCACCCCTTGATAATGGAATTAGCTATTTCAATGCTAAATTCTATGCTAATTCCATTGTCAAGGGGTGCCTCTGCGGATGTGTATGCTTTAACTTTTAACATAACTATTTCTGTGACCAGTCACAAGCTAATCATTCAGCCATTTCAATGCTAAATTATATGCTAATTCCTTTGTCAAGGCGCTTTGTTCCTCTCACACAGCTTAAAGGTCGTGATCTGAACGTGGCTCTTTCACTCCAGCGCTGTCCTACCAGACAGTCTCGTCCCTTCACCTGATGAAGGCCGCTTGTGTTGTGGCCGAAACGTCGTGAGAATATTATTGTGTTATTTTATTTTATCAATGTATTATTTTATTCTCATTCTACGTGACTTTACCGAAAGAACCAAAGAAGATGCTATGGGTTTCTCAATGAGTTTGTGCAAGTCTGTGGGTCTCTGTGTCCATGGGTCTCTGTGCGTCTCTGTGTGAGTCTGTGGGTCTCTGTGGGTCGCTTTGTGAGTCTGTGGGTCTCTTTGTGAGTCTGTGGGTCTCTGTGCGAGTCTGTGGGTCTCTGTGTGTGTCTATCGGTATCTGTGTGTGTCTGTGGGTATCTGTCTGAGTCTATGGGTCGTCGTTTGTGTCTGTGGTTCTCTATGAAAATGTGGGTCTCTATGCAAATGTGGGTCTCTATGCAAATCTGTGGGTCTATGTGTGTCTGTGGATCTTTGTGCGAGTCTGTGGGTCTCTGTGCAAGTCTGTGGGACTCACAGTCTATGTGTCTCTGTGTATGTCTGTCGGTATCTGTGTTTATCTATTGGTATCTGTCTGAGTCTGTGGGTCTCTATGCGATTCTGTCGGTCTATATGTGTGTCTGTGGATCTGTGTGTGTCTGGGTCTTTGTGTGAGTCTGTGGGTCTCTGTGTTTATGGGTTTCTGTGTGTGTGCGCGCGTCTGTCTATGGGTCTCTGTATGAGTCTGTAGGTCTCTGTGTGAGCCTGTAGGTCTCTGTATGAGTATGTGGGTCTATGTATGAGTCTGTAGGTCTCTGTGCGAGTCTGTGGGTCTCTGTGTGAGTCTGTGGGTCTCTGTGTGAGTCTAAGTGATGCACGTGTAGAGAGAGCGATGCGTGGTGATCATAGCAGCAATTTCCCTCCCATGGTTATTCCTCCTGATCGTGAAGTTAGCATGCACGCTGGCAAAAAGCAGTTGTAAAGACATTCGTTTTTAATTTCGTATCGTGGTGGAGTGTATAGTAGTAGTCTTTAGTGTGCAGTGTATAATAGTGTATAGAGTATTGTTATAGTGCAGTGTGTAGTCGTGTAGTGTACAGTGCATGGTGTATAGTGTATAGTATTGTAGTGTATAGCAGTGTAGTATTGTGGTGTATAGTAGTGTAGTGTATAGTAGTGTAGTATTGTTGTGTATAGTAGTGGAGTGTATAGTAGTAGTCTTTAGTGTGCAGTGTATAATAGTGTATAGAGTATTGTTATAGTGCAGTGTGTAGTCGTGTTGTGTATAGTAGTGTAGTGTATAGTAATGTATAGTAGTGTAGTATTGTAGTGTATAGTAGTGTAGTGTATAGTAGTAATATTTAGTGTGCAGTGTATAATAGTGTATAGAGTATTGTTATAGTGCAGTGTGTAGTCGTGTTGTGTACAGTGTAGTGTATAGTAATGTATAGTAGTGTAGTATTGTAGTGTATAGTAGTGTATAGTAGTGTAGTGTATAGTAGTGTATAGTGTAGTGTAGTATTGTAGTGTATTGTAGTGTAGTATTGTAGTGTATTGTAGTGTAGTATTGTAGTGTATAGTAGTGTAGTGTATAGTAGTGTAATGTATAGTGTAGTGTAGTATTGTAGTGTATAGTAGTGTAGTATTGTAGTGTATAGTAGTGTAGTGTATAGTAGGGGCAAGTGCTGTTAGTAGTGAGCAGAAGCACCTAACACAAAGATCCTCCGTGTAGCATCTATGAAGGACCAAACTGTAGACGACGGGATTTGTCGCCAGCACCAAGCCCGACCGCCTTTGTCTCCCCAGTGGCGATGTTTACACACCGCACCAGGTACTCATGTGAGGTTGAGTCGACCTCGGGGAGGCCCAGGATTGGTTCAAATAATTGTCACCGGTGTTATCCGTGAGCGGAAATCGAACCCGGGTCGCCAGGTTCAAAGCGCAGTGCGCTAACCGCGACACTACCGCTCCCCACACACAGACACACACACACTCACACACAGACACACACAACAACAACCGCCATTCACCACTAAGTGGCGGTGACGTCACCGCTACGCTTGTGCTTGGCCATGTGCACGTTGAGGCCACGTAAAATGTCGAACGCCCTCATTGCAGGTCATGGGGCAGACCCAGGTGCCACGGGTCGACTGACTGAGATGATTGGCTGATGCACCACCTGTGCTCCCTACTATGCCAGTTTGCTGTGCTTTAGCCACTCGGCACACCACTCATTGTTGTGAGCATCGCTCCTCCGCCCTCCGTTGTTGTTGGAGGGCAACTGCCTCCAACTGCCCAGTAGCAGCGTCCTTCACGAGCCTCCTCCACAGAGGCCGATCTTGACACCGCTGGTACCAGTCATCGGAAAGTCCACTCAGCTCCACGTCCTCCTGTACCACATCACTCCATCTCTTCTCTAGCCCGTGCCACGCCCGTTTAGCCCCCTCAATCCGGCCGAACAAAAGCTGTTTTGGCATGCGGTGACTGGGCATGCGGGCTACATGACCCAGCCATCGCAGCCTTGCCCGCCGGAGGAGCTCACCGATGGGACCTTGCCCAGATCTTTCAAGGATTTGTGAGCTCCTCACACAATCCAGTCTGGTTAAACCCAGGATGGATCGTAGGCAGGCCAGCCTAAATGTTTCTAACCGGCGAAGATGTTCAATTAGGGGGGTCCACGCTTCGCAAGTGTAGAGAAGTGAGGGAATGACCGTGGCCGAGAAGACCTGAAGCTTAGTGCGGAGCGACAGACCAGGTAGCTTCCACACAGCGTTATGCAACCGATGAAAAGATATTGCCGCTCGACTGATTCGGAGTGAGACCTCTGCTATTAAACTGGAGCCGGTCATAAGCACACTGCCCAGGTATGGGAAACTCTCCACTCGCTCCACAACTGCCCCATCACCGATTGGGAGTTGTGGGGGTGTAGTGTCCGATGGTACAAAATACCCAGGCAGGTGCTTAGTTTTGGTGGGGCTGATGATAAGGCCCCATCTCTTAGTGGCACGCTCCAGTCTCAGCAGCAGCGTCTCCAACT